CAGAATATTTTCCTGACACTACTGAAGCTGATGATGTCCAATGGGTGCAAAATCCATTTTCTTATCAGATGACTGCAAACAAACCGTCCATGTTCTCAATGGAGGACTGTGAAAGTCTGCTTGAAATTTAGTGCTCTTCTGATTTGAAAATAAAATTTCAATCAATGCCCCTGAGTGACTTTTGGACTGGACTTAAATTAGAATTTCCAGGAGTGGCCGAAAAAGCTCTTAGAGTTTTGCTACCCTTTGTTTCTACATATCGCTGTGAAGCAGGATTCTCAGCATATACATATACAAAAAACAAATATCGCAACAGACTAAATGCTTCATCAGATTTTATTAGGGTCCAGTTATCGGATCTAAAGGTTAACTTTGAAAAGCTTATTGCCAAAACTTGTAAACAGTTTCATTCCTCACATTAATAATAAATGAAATATTTGTGTATTTTTTTTTTTTTAATTTTTGTTTCCAAAAATTTTTACAAGAATTTTGCATTTTTTATATTCGTATCTATTTGTTAAAAGTCTATTATAAACTTAAGTTTAAGGGAACGAATCTTGGGGTGAAGTAAAATTTAAACTTGTCTCCAGGGGTTCCACAGTCAAAAAAGTTTGGGAACCGCTGCCCTAGACTACAAATCTCCATTCTTAGTACAAAACACATTAGAATTTATTGAATAACTTAAACATTTAAAGTTACTCCGGAATAGTCGCCTAATATCCTTTGATATAGTCAACTTATTCCCCTCAATCCCATCAAACGAATGTTAAAATTTAGTTAAAGATCTACTGGATTCAACTGATTTTCCAAACCAAATAAAACCTGATTTAGTCCTAAAACAAAACTTTTTTCAATTTAATAATTCCATTAACAAGCAAAACTCTGGTGTGAGCATCGGGGGCCCCATTGTCGCTTATACTGACTGAAATTTTCTTAAAAAACTTATTAGAAACCAATTTAATCTCAAAACATTCCACCTTTACAACGAAGGTCATGTTTTGGAAAAGTTATGTTGATGACATATGTTGCATATGCTCTGGTACTGACCTAAAATTACAAAAATTCCTTGAATTTCTTAACACATGACATCCAACCATCAAGTTTACCATAGAACTACAAGACAACCTTCATCAAGTACCATTTTTAGATAAAATTAAAGACGTTCTTTAAAGATCACAACATTAACATATCTTTTTACAATAATGTGAGCTTAAAAACTTATTGAAAAATAACACCATATAAAAATGAATTATTGGAGATGGATAATAAGACAAGTTGGAAAACTGTAAAAAGAAACTATTAAAAAAGAATAGGAAAAAAACCTGGAAAAATAATTGAAAGTCCTAAAAACAGTGACACGACTTCTTCTTCTTCTTCTTCTTCTGATAATGCTGATGAAAAGGCAGCTGATGCTTAATGCACATATTGTTTTGAAGTTTACAAAAGAGGAATTTGAGCAATTTTTGCAGAAAGTGTGACATTTCGTAGATCCAATTGTGCGATTTTTTAAAAACTATGTGACAAAATAAGATTTACCACAGCCCGTTGGGCCTGCGACTATAGGCGTAAAGGGTGTTCGAAATCGCGCATCCATTTTGATTGAATATATCAAAAGATTCACGAGAGCATCTCAGAAGAATTTGGAAGAATCTACTCAACCGCAGCGCATTTTATGTTAATAAGAGAACTTTCTAGTCAAATTTGCACTAAATTGTAAAAAGTCGAATACAGGAGGCGGCACTTTTCGATACGAAATTTTGGACAGAGCTGCGCTTTTCGGTAAAAGAGAAAGCGCTGTACTTTGAAAAATAATTTACTAATTACTGCAGATAATTAAGGTGGTCATTAATTAGTCTTTATTAATTCAGCGGGTAATTAAGGTTGTCATTAATTACAGCGGGTAATTAAGGGGCTCATTAAATAGTCATTGTTAATTACAGAGGATAATTAAGGCGGTTATTAAGTAGTCATTAATTCGTCATTAGCATTAATTTTGCAGCTCTTTACTGGCGAGTATTCGTAATTTTTCCCAATGACTTACAATAAGACGTTGAGAATAGTGGATTTAGCATTCTATTAGATGAGTTCTACCGACAATTCTATTATTAAATATTTAGGTTGTTCAATTATCTGTTTTAGTAAAAAATAAGGAAAGACAATTTCACCTTTCCTAAATTTAGATTATTTATAAAGTGTTGATGCGGAGGAAATTTTCAACTGTGTAGTGCAACTTATGACTAAACATAAATTATTGCACTAAATGATGGACGAGATCCATTAAAGATAACCCAAGCTGCTTCCACAAGATGACTTTCTATAAGTAGTGCAGTATCCAGGATATATACTCAGTGGTTAGAGCTAAAAACACGTTTTTCCATTAAGCCGGGTCCACACTTGCTATATAACTTTGCTATATAACTCTGCTATGAAAGTTTGTTTAAAACATAGTCGCGTCCACACCCGTTCAGTGAAGAGATGGACGCAGAAAACCAACTCCTTGCAGCAGCGGCGTGCGTAATTTTGTTTACCAAGAGTAAGAAAAAACCGAAGAAAAGACGGTTTTGGGTTAGACCCACACTGCGGTCAAGAAGTCAGTATAATGGGACACATTTATTGGAAGATTTGAAACGAGACGATGTCGGTTCTATCGATTACGGAATGACATACAGGGGAAGCTTCAAAAACTTCTGTAGATTATCCAGTGTGGATTTCGACCACTTGCTGAGATTAATTGGCCCTAAAATTTGCAAGACTGACACGAGATTGAGAGATGCAATACCCATTAATGAACGTCTGGCAGTAACTTTGCGCTTTTTAGCAACTGGAGATTCTTACCAAAGCTTGATGTATTTATTCAAAATATACAGTGAAAACCCTTTTATTATTAAGAAACTCTGCACGCCAGTGACCGGTTGTTGACATAAAATATAACAAGTCTGGACGCGTTTGAAATAGCAGTGCGATATAACTTTCTTTGATCTTTTCGGGCTTTACCGACTCCAGATGGATAACATCTAGCAAGTTATATAGCAAGAAAATTTGCTACAATTCGCCTAAATTTTAGTAACATGTTATATAACTTTGCTATATAGCTGTGTTATATAGCAAGTGTGGACCCGGCTTTAGGCGTCAAATTAAAAAATGTTATATAGCTGATTTATTGTAGCAACTGTACAGTGATGAGTTGATGACTGATGACTTTAATTGTGGATATATTTGTTTCTTAAAACCCATCTTGGAAGAAGTAAATAGAGTAAATAAAAAATGTGAAGTTGCTTCTGCAGATCCGACAAAATTAGTTGATAATCTCGTGAATCTTCTTAACGGTCTGATAAAAAACGTAACCACTCTAAATTCTGAATTAATATTATTTGTGAATAATAGTTATTTACATTACAAGTCGCATAAGTAAACTTTTTTTACGAGGTGGATTTGACGAACCGACACAAAGCCGAGGTCCGGCAAACCTTCGACCTTAAGAAGGAACTTACGTGGCGTGTATGGTATTACGTTTTTTCTGCCACTGTAGTAGCAAGGCAAAAAATTTGTTTAAAGGCATGAATTTTCTAAAAAGTAGTTATTCAAAATGAAAAATGGGTGATTTAAGTGATTTAAGGCAAAATAAGCAGCTGTCGATATCGCATGCGTCTCTCTTGTTATAATACAGTAGCTTGCATAGATATCGTAGCCGTACATAGAGTCGAAATTTGCGAATAAAAATAAAATAAAACCGGTTCAAACGGAGCACGCGTTGCACAGAGACGTATTTAATATTAACTGTCATCTTTTCCGTTACAATATAATCTGTTTCTTTTCTGAGCTCAATCTCGTCAATAAAAACGAAGCTCTGTTCACTGTACACAAGTTGTGGTATGGTATATTCATCGTTGCGGAGGTAGGTAGAGCGAAAAACCTGGTCATCTTAGCAGCAAACACGGCTATAAACTAGTCCACGTGGACTGTTTGTTTCCTGTCATATTTCACTTTGCTTGAACCAAATGCGTTGCACCAAACGGTTATTACTAGAGAGCGGAAAATATGCAGCAAAATTTTGGGAAATATGATCATATGATATGCATCAAATTTATGCAAATATGCAGTAACTTTCTCAATATATGCAGAGATATGCAGTTGGATATGCTCCAAAAATTAAAAAAAAGCGTAATAACCGAACTAAATTTATTTACAAATTACAAAAACAGGTTTCGCAAGCTTAGGTTTTATTACAAAAAATACATAAATCACATTGCAAAGTGTTTAATCTCATTTCACTAACACAAAAATGACATTTTTAAGGATAATATCCTTATGCTAAAAAATAAATATAAATAGAACAAATTAAAAAATGGTAGTAATCGACTATTTAATTACTATTTTGGCAACAATTTATTTTTAAATATTTTTCGAAATATACTAACAAAAAAATTTTTTTTCGGGTGATTCTAAAGTATGTATTTGTTAACAGAAAAACTGGGTATTGGGTCCACAGATGTAAAAATACTTACCGGTTTAGGGCAGGCGCGAAAAAACACAGTTCCTTCTTGAAGAATAAGTTCAGGAAAAGGTTTAATCCATAAATTAATTTGAGTTATCTTCGACATTTTGACACACCTGGATCGCTTTAAATGCTTTTAATGCAAACTCACGATGAAAAATAATAGGATAACGTCCCTTCGACCACCATAAAACATACCATTAATACACTTAAGTAACGAACAAAGATATTGGGAATGAACAGTATTTCCAAGAGTAGCTAATTAGGGCCCGATTTTACCTCCAAACTATCATAAAACCCAAAACTTTCCTAGTTATTTGAAGCTCAGGACAATATTTGTAATAGAAAGATTAATGAAATTTCGTCTTTCTAGACAAATGCCGATAGAATGACAATCATTTTTTTTCAAATTAGCACAAAAATTGATAAAAATGCAAAATATGCACCTGTTACGCGAAATATGCAGCAGAAGGCAAATATATGCAAATATGCATTTTTTTTGTAGCTGTATTCTTTTTTAATTAGCATGATTCGTTTACATATTAAATATCAAGACTTATATGCAAAAAATAACGGATATGCAAATTTCATAAAATCCGCTCTCTAGTTATTACACTTGTTGAAATACATTTTCAAACTTCCATCTTTCTCTAGATCGTCGGTTTCGTAGCTGTGTTTGTTTGTTGTAGACAGAAAATAGTAAGATTACAGTGACCCTAAGATTTTGTGCAATCGGCCTTAAATACACCCCTTTGTGATGCGACGCGCGCCGTAGTGACAGAACTTGCATGCTGTCGTCGGCTCCGTTTGAGCCGGTTTTATTTTATTTTTATTCGCAAATTTCGACTCTATGGACGGCTACAATATCTATGCAGGCTACTATACCTATACTGAGTAAAGCGCGGGGTACTCTCGACGACTGATATCGTGCGATATTTGTATGCCTAGACTGTAATAAAGAAATGTAATTTTACCATCCATAAATGGAATAATTAACCATATTTGTGATTTTTCAATGACATATTCTCTCTTTCCATCAACTCCTCTGAACGTCATATCCCCCCCTACTTTGTCGAAAAGAAAAACCCTTGTTCTCCCCTTCCCTCGTGCGTTTTGATAAGCGGTATCTTGGGCAGGTATAAATTGTTCAGTGGGCCCTTTTCCATTCAGTGTGTATTTTGCGTTTGTGGTGACAATTTCGAAATGGCCAACTGCGAACACAAGAATTTCGAAATCGATGCATCTGTGGATAGGCAAATTCAAAATTGCTTTGAAGAGATGGTGGATTTTGAAATAGTGAAGCTAGATCCACATTTATCAGTGAAGGAAAGACGAAGCATCGTTGTTGGGATGGTACTCGTGAAAAAGGAACAACTCAAGTTAGCCAAGAAGAGGAAGGCAGCCGAAAAATCCACAAGAAAACCCTTGAGTTACCAGAGAAGGCGGCGGAGAACCTCAAAGAGTCTTCTAAAAAAGTGCCTGCTCAAGCAGCACTGGGAGAGAGAAGAACAAATTCAACTAAGTAATTGAAAATCAACTTTTGAAATAGTAATGGTTCTAATGATTTTTATCTTTTCAGAAAATGAAGAAGTGGTGGCCATCCACGAAGAAGCCAAACGTTGAATGGAGTGCCTCGAGAAAATCATCTCAGACAACTTTTAGATTTTTTATATTTTTGTTAAAGTATTATTTATTTTTGTTTACGTTATTAAAAATATAGTATATTGTGTGTATATAGTGTGTTTTGTATTACTCAAATACGATTTAATGTACCTATGACTTCCTGTGTGTGAAATTCAACACAATACTGTGCCAATAAAAGTTGAGCATATTATGTGGCTATTGAGAATAACATTCGCATTTTGCAGCTATAAATGCATATTTATAGGAAATGTGTAGGCACAGTTGTTTAACAAAGTAAAACAAGAATAAGTAAAAAAGAATACGAGCACATATAGAGCAAGTGTTAAAAACAATTGCTAACACATATGTATTAAAAATTTTACAATATTGTTAGCAAATAAATCCATACGCCGCCCCGGTACGACACCTATAATCCGCCGAGAGCTGTCTTGTCTGTACGCCGATGATGACTCATCGACAGTGAGCGGCGGATCGTTAAAAACAGCCTGGAAGCGTAAATCGCGAACGGCAATCCAGAAAGATCCCGATCACCGCACATCTAAAAGGAAGTGTGGGTTTAAATGGACTCCACGAGAACGAGGATATTCATTTAAGAAGAAGAGTCCAGTCAAGCTGCGCCGGAATTATTTTGTGTAATCACTGTAAGCTGAGTTCTGTGTTATCGAACGCCTTTCCAGGGCTAATAAAGTTTTCTTCATCTTCTTATTTGGGTTCTACAAACAATATAAAATAAGTGTTACCATAATTTTTAATTCAGTGCCTTTGTGACCAACAATAATATTTTATCACTGTCAAGGTTTTTCTTTTGCGTTGTGTAACCCCTCTATCATTTTATATTAGATTACATACAACTATTCACATAACAAATGTATAATGTTTGAATTTTTACATTCAGTATAAAAAAACTGTGGAAAATACTTTGTTGCCATGTATTGTTTTCGATTTCAATCTAACTACAAATTCCAACACGTGGTGATTATTTTTATTTTTAGTACAAATACTTTTTTTGTTGCTTAACGAAAAACAGTAGGAGTAATATTTTTTTAGGTAAAATTGAAATTTTGTAATATACCGGCTTGTTACCGGCTCAATCCTAGCGTCATAAATCAAGGATTTGTCTGAGTATCTTGCCACCTCAATATCTGTTGCTGGGTAGTCCGGTTAAATATTTTTGGTACATTAAACCAGCACAAACAATTTATAACTGTGGGTTTGCCTATTAGCTGCTCCATTGTCGTCTTCACAATACCCTAATTTTACAACAACCATATACCCTTGTGCTATCTGGGGTACTGTACCTTTTTACATATAAACAGCACAGTGAATGTCACTTGACCATTAGTGTTATCTTATGAGATTTTCAGTATCCTTTCGCTTGACTCATCTTCAACACGCTTTTGTCAGGTGTTTATTCATAAATAGAAGGTAAGTAAACATTAATTGACAGAAGCTCATACTTGTATGGTAATCAAGTGGCGGACATTAAACGTTAGGTCTGCCACTTGTATTTTCCACTACTGTAAAGAAAAATTGGAAAATGTATTCCTTTATGAAAAAATTGGTCTAAAGAGTTTAGACAGTACTTCCCTCGCTGTCGGAAACTTGACGACTGCATGCCTATTGTGTTTTTTTTCTCATTACATTTTTGTAGTGGGAATTAAAAAAAATTGCGATGACGTCATCAACATTTTTGCAAGGACACGTATATCAGTTGGGATAGATGCAGTGTAATACTAAGAATAAAATTATTGTATTCCCCAATTTTCGGGAAAATGAATTGGGTCGTTTTGAATATTGATTTGTTATAATTAGAGCTGTGCGGTCGAAATTTAAACGCTTCGAATCGACCCCTACTACGGCAGACCAGTGGCTCGCAGCCGATGTTACGTATCGCGAAGAAATTTATGCGAATAATAATGTTCACTGAAAATCAGTTGATGATTTTAAAATCCATATCCACGAAATAATAACAATAATCATTTTAATAATGTTCAAGTGTCGGTCTCGTTGACAATAAAACGATTGATGTGAATTATGAAAAATAATACACAATGAGAAGCGAGAAGCGAGGAAGGCAAGACTGCAGCCGCCGGCACTGCTGGCCTGATGGGACGGATAGTGGGGATACATAAATTTCGACCGCACAGCTCTAGTTATAATCAATAAAACAACGAAACAATTTACTCACGTATACGGCACCGGTGTGTAATATGAGAGGCAAATGAAAAAAAATCGTTTATGTATAAGCATTCTTAATTTAAGACGACAAGCGTAACATAGCATACGTGAGAGTCAAACAGAGAAACTGTAAACAAAACGACCATCGGTTTTATTGCTTCAACTTCCGCTTATTATATAAAACATTGGGTTTTATTTTAATTTTTGACGGTGCAATTCACAACTGGTTGATTATAAACATGTCTATTCCACATTCGCGGAACCTAGTCAGCGCACAAAACAAATGCACGTCTGTAATGTTAAAGTCGATGTAAATAAGCGTGCTACCCTTATGTTTCAACCGAGTTTTTACTTTAAAAAATTTTGTGTCTACCAAATTGGGTTGGTCCAATGTAATACTAGTAATAAGTGTTGCCTTTAATTTAATCAATAAAATAAATTGACTTCATTAATTTTTTTGAGCCACCTCTTAAGAAAATCTAAAAAATATTAATGGAATGATAAATCACAAGTACAAACTCATCATATTTTTTGCATTTTAGATAGGATTTATTCAGCAAAATTTAAGGGTGACGTCATCAATTTTTTTAGGAGGGATGAACAAATACATTTTGAACAAAAGTTTACCATGCTTATAATAACTTTAAAATGCCTCTAAGATTTCAAAGCCTTCGGTTTTGTAATTTCTGATTAAATCGATAAAATAAATTCACGCATTCATTAATTTTTTTGAGTCACCTGTATATGCAAATCCAAAAATATGAATGGAATGATAAATCACAAGTACAGACTCATCATATTTTGTACATTTTAGATAGGAATTATTCAGCAAAATTTTGGCGTGACGTCATCAATTTTTTAGGAGGGATGAGCAAATACATCTTGATAAAAAAATTACCATGCTTTTAATAACTTTAAAACATCTCCAAGATTTCAAAGCATTCGGTTCTGTAAATCCTGATTAAACCAATAAAATAAATTCATGCATTCATTAATTTTTTTGAGTCACCCTGTATATGCAAATAAAAAAAAGATGACATTTAATATTAAATACGTCTCTGTGCAACGCGTGCTCCGTTTGAACCGGTTTTATTTTGATTTTTATTCGCAAATTTCGACTCTATGGACGGCTACAATATCTATGCAAGCTGCTATATCATATACATTTTCGGTCAAAATTACTATATCTGCAAAATCGAAATTACCTTATAGTCAAACTTCCAAAGCTTTTTCAAATTGCTGTACATCACGAAACATTCACGGTATTAATGAAACCCTAATGCTTGCTGATTTTATGGAAAGATTTGAAGTCCAGAAATCTTGTATGGAAAAACAGGTAATAATAATTATGTTTGATTAAAAAGTATTGTAATGGTAATGTAATACTTTCAGCTACATAGTTCGTCGTCATGTTGAAGATCATACAGAACATAATACAATTATGGAAGTTTCTGATAACAATGTAATAGATGCTGTCAGTTCCACTATGTTGCCGCGATTGCACAAGAAAACGCTGAGCGTACAGCTGAAGCAAATGATGAAAATCTAACAATAAATAATTTTGAAATATCTATATTATTTAATGTTTATATTTTGTTCTTGCAGACCAGAAAATAATCCGAGTTCGAATGAAAGCTCCAGCTCCAGCTCCAGCTCAAATCCTACAACTGATTCGGGTTTCGCAGGGGAAGTTCATATAAACCAATAAAATATTATTATAAATAAAATTTAATAAAGAATATTTTGCTAATTTTCAGTGTTTTCAAAGGCGAATTCGCTTCGCTCATGAGGACTTTGTCCGAATTTTGACTTTTTTAAAAAAGGGTACGTTTGGAAAAACCGGTCAAATTCTTTAAAAAATGTTAATTTTTACCTTAAAAACGGGAGTCTTTTCACGATTTTTCTGCTTTTCTGTTAACCCTTGAAAATCGGGGTGTTTTCCTTAAAAAGTAGCTGTGTTCTCAAGGGGCCATATTAGTAGTGACTTATTAAAAGACGACATGCATAGAATCACACGTAACATAATCAAACGTTTATTTGAAGACTGATTTAACAAATCATTTAGAAAAATAAATAGAATCAAAAGTAATATTGACGGAAAAAACGAATAAGATATTTTACACCAATGGAAAAAGAAAAAGAAAAACAGCCACTTACATCCAGCAAAAGAGGAAACAATTACTGCCCCTATAATATATTTAAATTACAATAACTGCCTAATTAAACAATTACGTCTACTCTAGCAAATGACGTCTATCGCACTGTTAGCATAGTTCATTCATAATACTCATACATGAAAAATTAATTAGCATAATAATAAACATTACTCAGTCTACTGTTACATTTATTTACACCATCGGTGGCAGAAAAAATAAAAGATTACGTTGACCCGAATTGTTACTTAGGATATCTTGTTCAAATAGGAATAAAAAAAAAATGGTTGGAAGAGGTTTCAAAGATGAGAGAAATTTGCGCGATAGATGTATTCAATTTTTAGTCACTTTAATAAATGAACTTATAAATAGAGTGCTTTCAAATGTAGAAATTCTAGGACAAATATCCTTGTTCTCGGTACATAGTACATATATTAAAACATAATAAACCTGATAATTAGAGAGCGGATTTCTAGGTTTAATGCTTTTTGTGAAAAATGTAAGCACTTCAAAACTCTTTATATCTGTAACTATGATACAATTTGGAGTCATTTGACAATTTTTTTTTATGGTTATTTGCTTTTTTTTCAATTTTATGCATATTAAAACTTATATGCTTATTTAATGCTTTTTTCGACGAATATGAGTTTTAATGCATATTTTGTTCAAATGCCGGCCTTGTCGGGATGACAAATACTTGTTAGTTAGCCGTATCGTATCGTATGCATTTTACCTGGACTTGACCATTGAAGTACACT